CTAGATAATAAATTGAAAGGCTCCTCGAATATTGATTCTTTCAAAAAGAACATTAGGAAAAAAGGCCTAACGTCACTCTTAAACAACAACAACAGCTGATGTAACCTTTGCAATTCTTAGAGACTACCTCTTATATACCCATTGTTTTACTGTACAATTTATACGTGCTACATATTTTAATTGTATATACATTTTTATTATTCCTTATTTGTAAATAATTTTAATTTTTTTGTTGTGTCCCCAATTAGTTGTGAAAACTAAATACACTTACTTCGCCAAATAATAACAACTATACGGAAATAATATTTCAAAAACCCCAAACAACCAGGTACCGAGAAATTTCAAGTAACAGCTCTAAAACCAGAATCCACGATAAAATGTTTATCCTGTTGCTGTAAGAGGATGACCGGCTATGTAACAGAAAAGATCTCCTATTAAAGAGCCCTTCTGCTAAATAGTGAGAATTATATACTGCCTCAGAAATATGTGAAATCTTACATTACTTGTGGTTTCTAAAAAAGTACTTCTCTTTAAAAAACTCAAACCTTGGAACTTTTCTCGGACTCTCCAGGTTCCTCGTTAGTTTTCTTGGCTTCTGGTTTCTGTTTCTTCTTCTCGGGAACCTTAATCAGTTCGTTCTCATTTAGCGGTGCACGGCAGAGCGGGCAGCGAGGAGCAAGGTTATCTGACGTCATAACATCCATAATGCACTGCTGGCAGAAGACATGTGCACAGCGCGTGATGACTGGCTCGACTAGGGAGTCGAGGCACACCGAACATTCTTCGTCACTTCCCGAAGATAACGTCATGAGTAAGTCTTTGATGAGTCGGTTAGTGTCGTGGTCCACATCGAGATCGTCGTCATCTGAGTCATCTAGCCCTGAAATATCACATTCACACATCAAATATCTTTTCTCGCGTTTGACTGGTCCAAATACGTAACAAGATTGAGTAACTTACTAAACATTTCAAGCAAACTAGCAAAATGTTTTCACGCGCCCAGAACCATTTTAACATTGACCGACTTAGAAGAGGTTTCCCCAAAAGAGCGACCTTATATAAAAATGTTTGAAGAATAATACACGCAGTAACACCCCATTGGCGTGAAAAGATGCTCCGACATTTGTCTTTGGACATTATTTGTCCCTCG